CCCCAAAAGTGAGAAAAGTTTAGACCATTTGTTTTAAAATATAATTTTAGAGCATTTATTCCTTTAAATGCAGCTTTGATCTCTGATGAGGCTATCAGAGAAGGTTTGCAAAACCTATATTACTTATCTACAATTCCCAGTCACTCTGGGACTGCTAGGAATTTTAGTCCAATAAATCTATGTGGTCAAAAATTTCCTATCCCTACTGCACATTAGGCCTTAAACTTCCAAACATACAGAGAAGTGTTGGAACTGCTGAAAGTAAAAATATGTTACTGGTTATGTATTTTTTTAATTTTTTCTTTCTTTCTTTCTTTCTTTCTTTCTTTCTTTCTTTCTTTCTTTCTTTCTTTCTTTTTTCTTTCTTTCTTTCCTTTTTTTCAACTAGCTTCACCAATTTCTTGATCATATTGTGTTTAATAATTCTGTTGGAGAAACAATTTCCTTTAATTCTAATAGAGAAATAAGAGCTGGATTTGACATCATTAATTTGGTAATACTCCCAAATAATTCACTGCACAGAGTGACAATTGGAAAGGTGCAAAACAATGCCCTAACAGAAGAAGAATTTGTTATTAATGAAGCCTTAATTGTGTGGCACAGAAATGTTAACCAGGTGTGTTTTTTTAATGTCTTTTAGGGCTACTTCATTCAGTAGATGACTATGTCAGGAGCTGCAAAATCTGATGATATCATTATCAAACCTGATAATGCATTTAGAGTTTCACGTTACCTTCAGAGTTGTTTGCTTTTTTTCTTTTTTTAATGAGTTTAAAGAGCTGATATTATTCTACAAAAGACTTAAACATAACTTTATCATTGCTGTAAGTGTGAAAGATGTCAAAGAAATGACATTTATAGGACTTTTGACAATGTTTCAGAGGTCTTAATAAATCTGTTTGCTATAATAGCCATGCCTAGTGCTTATACGTGGACCATTGCTCTGGTATAAAGCAATGGTCTGAGTAGATGACATTTGTTCCACAAACTCAAGTTATTCATAATTACTAATAGATTCTGCAAATTCCAATTGTTATTATAATAGTGTAGCAATAGATTTTTAAAAGCAAAATATTGTGTTAGATTTGATCGTTTCATATGAACAGTTCTTTGGCAAATCAGCTGGTAACTTCCTTCCTTCCTTCCTTCCTTCCTTCCTTCCTTCCTTCCTTCCTTCCTTCCTTCTTTTTTTAATATTGTCTGTTCTAATTTCCCCCAACTTGTGTTTATTAACAGACAAAGCCTACATCATTTTGCAGTCACTCCTGCAATCCTGGTTATCAGAAACAAAAGAAAGAAGGAAATAAATTTTGCTGTTATGATTGCATTCCATGTCCAGAGGGGATGATTGCAAGCCAAAACGGTAGGTGATATACCATGTACACAGGCATGTATTTGCATACACACATCTCTGTCCTTGTCTCTGTCTCTATCTTTACCTCTCTCTATCTCTATCATCCCTTTTATAGGACTAATAGGTCACACCAGTCAACTGACTCTGAGCAGCAGTTTTGTATCTATCCAGACTCCCTGATGCAGTGTTGTCCAAACTTGGCCACTTTAAGATGAGTGGACTTCAACTCCCAGAATTCCCCAGCCAGACAACACTGCCCTAATGGTAGATAGATAAGTAGTCAGAATTAATATTAAAACGGTACACTGCATAATAACTATATAAAAGCTGGAAATGAACATTCAAGACACAAGGAGCACTAATTCATCATCACTAGAGAAGCAGCAGATCCCACCCCAAGACTCAAAGAAGTAGCAAAATATTTTCTGACTTTCTAAAACATGGAGGGAGGGAGATTCTATTCCAGGGGAATGGGGCAGTGACTGAGGAGTCATGTTTCCATGGTCCTTGTAGGTGACAATCTCTAATACAGGAGATACATACATATGTTCATACATACATACATACTATTATATTATATTATATTATATTATATTATATTATAT